CATAACATTGATATGTTCCTTATGTATTTTGCTGAGCATAAGGAATGATTTATCAATTACAACTAAATGGATTTTAGTTAAGGAAATAACAAAACTAATCCAATTATTATGGGAATAATTTGGGGTCTTCACTGTTCTTTTCATCATGTACTGATGTTTGTATATAGTTATTAGATAAACTATGTCTGATTCAGTTTATCTCCGTATCATTTGAATGTATTGTCGGATAATTTCATTGTATGTATCTATATTTTACTGTACTATGCTCCGTAATCTTCTGTATGTCGATATCTTATGAGAACCCTGTGAATAGTTTAGTACTGGTTTGTGAGACAGTCACTACTCTTTATGGATGATCAGTAAATCCTCCCCGGAAGTGTAACCATAGTCTCCTGGAGGGAGAGCGCGGAATTTGTGAATAGATCAATTCGGGACTAACAATCCCACACCTTAACTGCTAGCTACAGTTAGGCGGGCACGCCTGGGGTGACAAATTTCTGGATATCGTTTCGACGTCTGACAAACGTCAAGGAGGTCACATTGTCGTATTAGTATGGTTAACCGACTCACAACATGTATTAATATTAGCTTATTCACAGTTTGGGTTTTATATCTATATCTTTCGGGATAGTGATCCCATGGTTTGTTTACATATCTCTTTCGGGATAGTGATCCCATGGTATTATCAAACTATTTTACATCTAGTTCGGGATAGTGATCCCATGGTTTTGTATCTATATCTTATATGGGATAGTGATCCCATGGTTTTGTATCTATATCTTATACGGGATAGTGATCCCATGGTTTTGTAACTATATCTTATACGGGATAGTGATCCCATGGTTTTGCATATATAACTTGTACGAGATGTCCTTCCCCATGGTCTTTAACTATAACTTATACGGGATAGTGATCCCATGGTTTTCAATCTATATTTCTATATATATGAAATTATCTCGTGTCTAGTCCGGGACGGTAGTCCTATGATCTTAAACCTGTACTTTCATATGTGTCAAACTATCTTATACCTCTTTCGGGATAGTGATCCCAAGATTTTCATCATATAGTTTTGTGTATTAAACTATACTTTGTGATATATAACTGATCTTACAATTAGGAAAATATGGGATTTTCCTGGGGTAAAACACAACACGTAATCGAATTGGTAATGAATGATAACTAAACCAACTTCACATAAGAAAATATGGGATTTTCTTGGATAACAAATCTTTTCGAAAATTAAAGGAAACCGATACATTTTCATAAAACAAAACCGCTTATGAACTCACCAGCTTTATGCTGATTTTCAAACCGCTTGTATTCTCAGGTCCAAGTTAGACAGGTACCCGGTGATCTCCTTTTGGTGAAGACGGAGTGCGTGGAAGACTCGTCTCAACTTTTGTTAATATGATGCATATGTATATTTTGTATAACTTTACTTTTGAAACAAATGTAAACTTTCATATATATGTAATGTAATGGTTGTTTACTGTGATTACTATGTACATTGGATTTGATACACAACGTGGTAGTCCACCACGAAAATGTTTCCGCCTTTGATTTTCGGGGTGTGACACAAATGGATGTCAAAACTGCTTTCCTTAATGGAAAGTTGACTGAAGATGTTTACATGAGTCAGCCAGAAGGTTTTGTTAGCAACGAGTACCCAAATAGAGTGTGTAAGCTTGACAAATCCATTTATGGATTAAAGCAAGCACCTCGCAAATGGAATCTTTTCTTTGATGAAAAGGTCAAGGAATTTGGCTTTTCTAGGAGTGAAGATGAATCTTGTGTTTATGTCAAGGCTAGTGAGAGTATAGTTAGCTTTTTGGTAGTAGTATGTGGATGACATACTACTCATAGGAAATGACATCCCAACCCTGCAGGAAGTAAAGTCCTGGCTTGGGAAGTGTTTCGCTATGAAGGACCTTGGTGATTTGCCTATATCCTGGGGATAAGGATTTTGAGAAACAGGAGTAAAAGACTAATTGGACTAAGTTAAAGCACCTATGTGGCCAAAGTGTTGAAAAGATTCAACATGCATAACTCCAAGAAAGGTGAGTTACCCATTCAGAGTACTGAGGCTGAGATAGTAGAAATGAGTCGACTACCTTATGATTCAGCTATAGGATCGATCATGTATGCTATGATGTGTACTCGACCTGATGTAGCCTTTTCTTTGAGCATGGTTAGCAAGTATCAGGGGAACCCTGACAAGGAACACTGGACTGCCGTAAAAAATATCCTCAACTACATGTGAAGGACTAAGGATTGGGTCCTTACCTTCGGTGGGAGTGATGGCTTGAGACTTGTAGGGTATAGTGATGCTAGCTTCCAGACTGATAGGGATAATTTCCGCTCTCATTCGGGTTGGATCTTTACCTTAAACGGAGGAGCAATCACTTGGAAGAGTTCCAAGCAGGAGACAGTGGCTGATTCCACTTGTGAATCAGAGTATATAGCAGCAAGCAAGGCTGCAAAGGAGGCTATATGGCTAAAGAACTTCATCGGAGACCTTGGATTGGTACCAGCTACAAAGGAGCCAATGGATATTTTCTGTGACAGCAATAGTGCGGTTGCCTTAGCCAAGGAACCAAGAGATCATGGGAGATCCAGACACATTGACAGAAAATATCACTTCATCAGACACCGAATAGAAGAAGGAATCCTCGTGGCAAAGAGGGTATCATCAGATGAGAACCCAGCAGATCCCCTCACGAAGGGACTGAGTAGGGTTAAGCATCTCCAGCATGCTCAAAGCATAGGGCTGAAGGATGATATAAGTTTTAGTAGTTAGATAAATTATGAAATTTGTAAAGTGTAATTAACATTAGATGATGAATAAAAGGTGTTTTATTTATGAGTAAAGTGGTGCTATCTCTTGTCAATCGTTTACTATATTTCTTTTGCATGTTTTGACTTCCAAAATAATTATGGATGGTATATCATATTATTCAAACCTCCACAGTCAGTCATATGTCGGCAGTAGGTATGAATCAAGACTGTCATGATTGGTTGCAAAGGTCTAAGGTGTTCGACATGGCTACAACAATCATGAGTGCTCATAATTTCTAAGCATTGGACTCAACCCACGCTCACTGGAATCACTTCATGAAATTTTATCTCCAGTGATCGTGAGATGGTAATATCATATAAATCTTCAAACCTAGAGATATGATTTGTTACTTACAAGTTTGTTATGCATTGATTGTACGGAAACGCATTGGTAACTCGATGTTATAAAACGTGCCTTTGTGTATAATTCAATAAGTGGTAGAACAAACATATGATTTGAAGTTTATCTGTTCCTTCTAGGATTAAAAGCTAATATCTGGGCACCTCGATGATTGTTTTTGACCTATGTACCGGGCCCGGTCAGAACTAAATTGATGTGTTCAGTTAAGTTCTATGTCAAACAAATCGGAAATCGAGAAACAAATATTGGATAATAAGTGAGACCATGTTCCATGTATTTGTCCGACTGATATCTTGAGCAGAGGATTATATGATCACTTATCTAAAATGGCGCGTTCTAGTTCAATAGAATTTAAAGAGCTATGATTGTTGATCGGTTCCTGAAGTCATACTTGCAACTATAGTTATTAGATTTATCCAAGTGGGAGACTATTGGATATAGTGTCTAAGTCCATAACTATATTTGGTATGTACTTGACCCGACCCGGCATGGTCCATTTGGGTTGCACTTCACCTGAACAATTTATTGATAATCTTTTGAGAATAGTACAAGTTATGATTTATTAATATATTATAAGTTATAATATATTAATATAAGATCATATTATTTAATTAGAATTGATATATAATTAATCTAGGATTAATTTAGATATCAAAGATATTACTAATTAAATATGGGCTTCTATATTTATATATTGTGGGCTAATGCTTATTTCGAATGGGATAGGCTTGCATGGAAAAGTCCATGGATACTCCATGGAGCTTTAACCCATGGATCTCATGGAAATGAAGAGACATGCGTATTAGGGTTTACATGGATGTAACCCTAATCCACCATACTATATAAAGGAAGCTTTGGTTCTTGAAATTACTACAAGTTGAGACTTGTTGAGGTGAGGGCCGATTTCAAGATAGTAGTGACTATTCTCTCAAAGTTCCAAGTTTGTGGTGATTTGTGATTTCCATTTGAGGCATTCACACTATTGGTGCTAGGCTCTAAAACTCCAAGAAATCAACTACTACTACAAGGTAAGTATTTCTACTAGCTTTATTTGATTGATGTTCCCCATGCCATGCTAGTTAGGATATGAACCTTGGAAAAATAATTATTTGCATGTATCTTAGAAAAACATAGATCCAAGGTTTATTAGGGTTGTATGTACACGTAGGAAGTGTTAGAATTCTGAAAACCCATCAAACGGGTCTTGCAAGGGAAGACAAGAAGTGTATGAAATGGTAACGGGGTTATATTACAAATTGAGTGTGGATTATGCCACTCAGTTGTGGAAGGAGTTCACAAAAAGGTTAGAAAGTACAAGTGTGGCTAAGGGAATTTCTTGTGCTAGATACTTTAGTTTAATATTGGAGAAAGTGTATGAGAAAGATGGAATTGAAGTCCCTCAGGGTGAGGACACTGTTAATTTACAAAGTATAAATTCCCAAAGATAGTCGAAGATGATGAGCAAATATTTACAAGTGTTTCATGTGTTCCAGATTCAATGCTCAAGAAGGTGAACCCTACGCACTACATTCTTGTAAAGAACTTGCAGAATGTAAATCCGGATGTGGAAATTACGGTGTTACTTGAAGTCGAAGCAGGATCTTCCAAGCCATCAAAGAAAACAAAGTCTGATGAGGAAAAAGTAAAAGCTGTAAAGTCGAAATCTTCAACCAAGAACGTCAAAGGTGATGGTAAGAATGAAGTAGAAGGAATTCCTTCGAAGTAAGTTGTTCCTTCAAAATCAGGAATTCTTTAATGGATTCACAAAATATCATCTAAACGAACTTCGTCTGATGACTCTCAGATGGTTCGTAAGACTCAAGTTAGTAGCAGAGGAGTTGTAATTCGTGAAATTCCTGCTCCTGTTTCTCCATTATCAAAAAAGAGACGTGCTCATGATGTTGCAAAGCACATCACAAAAAAACGGAACAAGCGAAAGCTTGTAATAAGAGATGATTCCCCGGAGAATGATGGTGTTCCTGATACTCCTATGGCTTCAAGTTCTGCTACGGTAACTTCAACACCTATAATCTCTTTAGTTTCGCATGTTTCTACCATTTCGACTACTACAACCATTCCAATAGAAATATATGTAACCAAGTCATATAATGAGGAGGTTCCTATTTCTAACATCACTGCTAACGTATTTGATACGGGGGAAAATGTTACTATGAGTGTCAACTCTTCATAGCCTATTATTCTTTCTTCTTCATTACCACCTATCACTTCAACTTCGTTTGTTTCATTACCACCACCCATATCTACTTCTACTTCATCTCCATTGTTTGAAACTATCCTTCAAAAACCTGTTACTACTCTTTTTCCATCCCAATCCACATACACACCTAAACCTCATTCCGATGATGAAAACAAAGGAGGAGGTTTTGGAGGGACTTTTGACGAATTGAATTTCGATTCGGAAGAGGAGGATATTCCTGATCATATGTTAATGTCAGGAATGAAGTTAATAATCTTGAACAGGAAGTTAAAGTCACATCTTCAGTCCCAAGCTGATTCCAGAGCAAAACATTCGGTTTTGGGTATTGAAGTCGATGTAATGATAAAAGCTACTGAACGAAGACTTCTTGAGAAAATAGATCTTTCTGATCAAAATAGTGAGCTTCGAATCAAGACTCAAGCATGGAACATTGAAGGAGCCTTGAAGGATTTGAAGGTTGTTGCGAAGGAACATCATATTCTCTTCGTACAAGACGTTAAAAAGGTGCGAGAAGATGTCAACTTGAAACTGGAAGAGTTGAAGAAGGAAGTCTCTCAGGAAATCAAAAATATGAATTCTCACTACAATTCAATTCAGGTGAAGGTCGATATAATTGCTAGGACAGTTACCAATTTTATCAAAACTTTTCAAGACATTGTGCCAAAGTTTGAATCTAAAGCAATTGAAGACAACAAACAATTTGCGAAATTATAGACTCCTCTTGAAGAGTTAAAAGAAGTTGTTTCGAAGCCTACTCTAACATCATTCTTAACTCCTGAGTTCCTTACTTAGAAGCTGAATCTGCTTGATTAAGTCATTCAGAAGGTTGTGGCTCCCATATCAAAGTTTGCTCAGATGTTGCCACATAATGCCCCACCTGTTGTCACAGGGTGCAAGGGGGAGAAACGAAGTTGAGAAAAGGATTGAATGTGAATAAAAAGGGAGAAGGAGAGAAGATGAGACTAGAGATTCGAAAGTTGTTAGAAAGGTGATTTCTACACAAATTCCTGTTTCAATCCCAATGAAGTCTAACACCATCTCAACAACTATCATTACCACAAAACCGATTTCGAAACCAAAAGGGATTTTGATTGGTTTAACTACAGAAGGGGGTAGTTCAAGTTCCTCAAAACCGAATCCTGATTTGAAAGATAAAGGGAAAGGTGTGTTAGTCAAAAAATCTAAAGAAGAAAAGAAAGCAGATGTTGAGGCTGAATTCGAACTTCAGAGGCGTATTCAAAGTATTATGAGGCTGGGGGAGATTGATCCACCTGGAATGGACAAAGTTGATCCCAAGAAGTTGTAATCGTATGAATCAATCCAATCGAGAGTTGCATGCAATCACATGTATGCTTTCGAAAAGAAACCAAGGAAGAGCTATTCAATTACTAACACTGATTTCAGTCAATTGGACTTTCCAATAAACAAAATGATGTTTATCTCTGCACGATACAAATTTTATGAGAAATTCAAAAACCCAGATAATTATACACACACGAAAATTCGTTTTCGTGTTGTACTTGGAAAAGAGCAAAATGAAGTGTGGTCACTGGTCATGATTAAGAAACTTATTGTTATTAAGAAGGATGTCTTGTTCAAAGACATGATACAAAATTTCAGGTATCATGTTGTTCGTGCAAACAACCAAGTATTCGACTTCAGGGTTGTAGACTTCCCTTTAATGAACTTGAATGATCTTATTCAAGTTGCATTGCTTTTAAAAGAAATGGAAGCATCTCAACTCATGGGTACAAACAAATAAGTGTTCATACTAGGTCTTGCTCACATTAGAATCTTCATTAACAATTACTATGATTGTCTTGCCCTTACTAACGAAGATTTGGCTTCGAGGATCGATAGAAAAATATATGTTGCAATGGAACCTTTGAAGACACAATATGAGTTGAAAAAGTATGCTGATGGAGAGAAATGTTTGATACCATTTGGTTTAGTTTTTGCTGGGAAGGAGACTAAAGCGAAGGCTAAGAGGTTTCTCTTTCAAGTTGCTGAGATTGAAAGATATACAACGTCACAATATATGAACTTCATTGCTCATATGAACAACTACTTGAAAAACAATGATGGTGAGAAAAAGGAGGTAAAGAAGGTTTTAACATGGTATTCAGAGATACGAAGGATCATGCACTTTGCTACTCAGATTCTCACGAATTGAGTAGTTCGACTCGTTTACAAAGGGGGAGATTGTAAGGGTTGAAGTCTTGTAAAGAGTCGAATTATGTTTAGTCTATTTCGTATGTAACATATTTACTAAGTCACTTTTGTACGAAGCGTAAGGGTTCCAAACTTAGTATTTTTTGTACTCTCATGTTCCCTATAAGTAGGGATTGAGCTTAGATTTAGATATACGAGTTTTCAAATTTCGTTGTCTATGTTTTGTAATTGAGCTTATTGAGAGTAATAAATCTTCAAAATCATATTTACTTTCTGAGTTCATTACATTGATTGATCTTGTTCTTAATGAATTTCTCGTAAACAGTTATTCAACAGATTCAGACCAAAAACCACGAGAAGTGTGAAACTAGGACTTACGTTGGGCGTAGTCCCAGTACGCGCAGCGTAGGGGGTCGAGTTCCCCATTTCTAGTTAGCCATGGGGTACGGCCCGCGTACAGATCTGCTACGAGCCGCGTACTCCCGCTGTTGACTTTTGTTGACTTTTAGGGTTTGGTCGAGATTAAGGGCTATTGAGCATTGGAGGGGTAAAATGGTCTTTTACTCTTCTCTGAGTGTAGAGGATTAGTCCAGCTTCTTCAGGGCCAATATTAATTAGGGATAATTATTATGTGTTAGGAGGGAGCTAGACTCGGGAGTAGAGATCACGATCCCGATTGCGAGATTTTCTTTCACTAGCTTACAAGGTGAGTCTTCTCACTATACTTTACCTTGAGTGGTAGTTATGTGTGACCAGAGGGTCTTATGTGCATGAACTGTGTAATGAGATATCCTTCTATTTACTTGTGTTATGCTTTATGAGAATTATATTGTGATGCTGAGTTGAGGGGCCGGAGGGTCCATATGAGTTGTGGGACCAGGGGGACCCACTGAGACACATTGACCAGATGGTCTAATTGAGTTATAGACTCGAGTGACTACTATGTTGTGTGTGGTATTTTGGGGAACTCACAAAGCCTTTATGCTTACCATGTTATGTGTTATGTGTTTCAGGTAGTTTCGAGGATCGTGGCAAGGCACCAACATGATTGTACACACTGGCAAGAGATTGTTTTTATGATTCTGGGATTGTGTTCTCTTTTATTGACACTTGAGAAATATGTGTTTTGAGAATTATGATATAAGATTTTATAGTGTTAAAAAAGAAAATTATAGTTGAAAAAATTATGTTGTTACAATGATTCACGTTTATGATGTAATCATTTTCATCCCTTTTTATTTCACTGAGATCCAATCTTTGGGAATAATAATTCCAGGCTTCAAAATAAGACATTCTTTATCAGTGAAGTAAGTTGAGTAGCCTTAGTTACAAATTTGAGAGACACTCAATAAGCTATGTTTTAACTCAGGAGAGTAATTAACATTCTCAAAGCTCAACACTCCATTTGTAACAGTTCCTCTTTGTGTGATCTTCCCACCTTCTCATCCTATGAAGGAAACATAACCCCCATTGAAGTTTTGAATGTCATATAACTGAGATATGTCACCTGTCATGTGCCTAGAACAACCACTGTCAACACACCCGGGTCTGACGACATTCCTCTGTAGTTGTTCCTGCACGATGCACGAGAGTAGTTAGATTTCGGAACCCAGGTCATAAAAACACTGTGTTTTCCCTTTTAAGGAACAACAATTTCTTTTTCACTTTTTAATTTTGATTTATCAATAGATGCACAAGCAGAAGATCAAGATGATTGGACATTTAAGTTCTTAGGCACCCATTGATATCTGCGTTTAGAAACATTTATAGGTGATTTTCAAACAATTTTCTTTTGTTTTGATCCTTTGGGTTTCCGTCTAATATTAGTCGATGACCCATATAAAGACTTTGATCAATCCTATCTTGGCTTAGCCACGTTCGGTTTCGTGAAAGTACTTGTTGTATTTGCATGAAAAACATGTTTATTCCTTTTAAGCTCATCCCATTTCTTGTCATTATTTAAATTCCAATGATCATCATGAGAACGAGGTCTCGAGAATTTTCTCACAAGAGATCTTCCTTGCGACTCATTGTCTCTTCTGTGTACATGAAAAGGAACAAATGCCCAATTTGGACAATTACGTGCGATGTGACCAACAGTTCCACAGTTAAAGCAAGTCTATTTCTTATCATGAAAACTGTTACCACTCTTCTCAGAACTAGTGTTTTTATAGACTCCCTTACTTTTCTCATACGTGCATGTGCAAGACTCAAGTTGTGTGACACGTGTAGGTGGAGTGGATGTGCTTATAAAAGAAACATCAGACCTAACTGTTTTGAAAGTATGCATAACTGTAAATGTGACAGTTTTTCCCTATTTAACTATTCACTACATAAACGTGCATGTACACATATATATATATATATATGTGTGTGTGTGTGTGTGTGTTTGTATACATATATATATATATATATATATATATATATATATATATATATATATATATATTGGTAAAATATCATGCATTAGATCTTCCGTTAATACTGGTTGCAGTCATTAACCGACGGATATTGACCTAATTTTTATAGTTGTTTCAATAGTGTCATCAGTTTGGAGTATATATGTTCTAGGGGCGTCACACAGCTATATAATGTATGGGAAGTTTTGATTAGTGATATAGATAGTGAATGGTTCAAACCATTTGCTTGTAGGAGGAGGTTTGATTTTTGGAGGATTATCTAACCATAGGCTAATATCACAAGATGTATAATAAAATGCATAAGAAATGACCATTTTTTATAAAATTCATGGTTTACATTATAAACTGATATTGATGTTCCATATTTTACACATATAAATA